GGTCAGAGTCTCATCTGACGTTTTATGGGTTTGGTTCAGTGGTTACACATTAAATTAGTTTTTAAGAGAATCAGTTTATGGACAATAATTAAGAGACGTCCATGAACAGAACTGTGCAGCGTTGATTCTTCTCTGGCATATAATTCAATGACTTAATCAGCTGTTCCCATAATCCATGAAGTCGTTTATCAAGCGGAAACATTTGTTGGTTTCCAGCTTCTCACACGTGAGGATCAGCTGCCGTCATCTTAAATATCTTTGGGTTTAAAAAAAATGTTCAAGCGACCTGAACTGTGAGAACTGTGTTGAGCATTTCTGGGAAAAAAGCATTTATTCTGAAAGTTGTTTGCGAACATGAAACATCTCCGGTCTCCCTCTCTTCATCTGATCTGTGGCGAGAGACCCAGCATGCCTTTCAGCGGTGTAACAGGAAGTATTTAAAGTCTAAGAGCGCAACATTATGGTTGCATTTAGTCTGTTTGGAGCGTTTGAGCTGGGAGAGAACATGCAGCGTGTCCTGATGTGGTCCACAGTGAACTCACCAGAACCTGGATCCCTTCTTTCACCACCAGAGCGGCATCATAGGTGGCCTCACAAACCCTCACCACGGTGGTCACTCCATATTTCTTCAGCTCCTGTAAAAGAATGCATCACGGTGTTTATGAGAAAGCTCTCTCAGGCAACATGTACGTACACGAGCAATGCAACTTGAGTCTAAGTCTCACATGCGTCTGTTATTACGGGGAACCTTCGACGGACACATTGTTTTATTATCTTCCTTTATCCTAGATATTTCCCACCACGTCGTCTTTAAAGAGTCCCGTAATGTGGACAGACTAAACTACAGCTGCCCCGTGAACCCTTTGAACCGATGCTGAGGCTCACCTCGATGAACTTGTTCAGGGTGGCGTTGGTGGGATTGTGGGTAATGAGGAACCTCATGTTTTTGTAGGTGATCTCCACAGGGGCCGGTCTGTTCATACGAGCCATTGTGACAACGTAAAAAGGAGAAGATAACAAAAGCCAAACGTCTCCACAGAGTAAAAACACTAATGTAAACACTCGGTTAAAGTCGGAGGGAATGTCAGAACACAAATGTCCAACGAGCCTCCAGAAACCCAGAGACACAGATCCTCCGGTCTTCTTCCAGGTTGCCTAAAAACAAAACAAAAAAGAGGAAAAACCGAAGGCTGCAACGGGCAAATGTGGAAAATTTAGGGAGTTTTCGGCCGAAAAAAAGGGCGGACAATCAGGTGAGAACCCTCTCCTTTGGAACAAAAGAAAAGAAAAGGAAGAGGGAGAACAAGGCTGGTTCCACCTTGGTTCTGGCCAGGCGGAGAGCCGACGAGGGCAGTGTGCAGCGCGTGAAGTTACCCCATCCAGGCCGAGTTGTCGCTGGTTCTGGGAGGCGTCCCGGTGCTGCCAACTTTCCGGGGTTCCCCTTCCTGTGGCTCAAGTGCGTCGGATTCGAGGGCGAGTTCGGCCGTTCACTCGTCTGCATAGGCAGCGTGCTGAGCCTGGCAGTAGTCCCCACTGCCCTTCAGAAACTCCATAAATGTGTGACCCAGAACACCACAGAACTGCTGCAGGAGACAAGGACACATCGATGTAAACACACAGAGGGCTCAACGCGTTCACACAGACTCACGGTGCAACGAAAACTGCCTCATTTAGGTCCTACGGCCAAAGATAAACCTGAATCGGTGGTTTTGTATTCTTTGTTTTGTTGTAACTCTTCCATGATTAGATTTGTTTGACGTCAGATCTTTGAGTGAGCGAAGTCCTCGGTTCAGGTTCAAGGTTTCTATTTGACAACACGACGAGCAGTAAAGTAATAACACTGCAACTTTCATTCTGAGGACTCTTTTCGTTGAGGCAAGGCACTAAGCACTGCCAGGGTGAGCGGGTTTGATTCCCACACTGGACAGGTTTTTTTTTTTTTTTTAAAGGAGCCTCCAACAAAATATAATGGAGTTATAAAGACGACAAAATAAAAAACAGCAAAACACGAGTGTGTTACATAAAGTGACACCATGTAATATCTTACCTAATGGCTGCTGGTGTACAATAGGACGGATGTGTCATATCTGACATCTAGGTCATAACTGTGAGCTCACCAGGAGGCCTTCAGCAGGACTTTAAACATGGCCACCGTTATTATTATGATCATAAATCTGTCTCACGACCACTCAGTGCCGAGATAAGATAAGATAATCCTGCATTGGTCCCACAGCGGAGACATTTACAGGATTACAGCAGCATAGTGGAGTGTGT